ATCAAAGTTGTATATGAAAGGAAGTAAGAACACGGCTAGCCCTTGAGTCATATTTACATAGTTTTAATATATAAATACTGTCAATAGAATAAATTCCTCAGAGAGTGGGCCAAAAGTTATGATAGATCTGTGAGAAGAAAGGTGGTGTGTGAAACAAGTGTGAAGTAGGGGGAGATGAGTGAAAGAGCTAAATCCTCTTTTCACTGATAGGAAATTTTAGACTTTAACACAAACAAGGATGTAATGAACCCAACAGCTAAGATGGACTGAAAGTGGTTACTTCCGGGAAGCAGGAATCTAGAATGAAAAGGGAGAGGGCAGGAGACTTTTTATTTATTTATTATTTTTTTATTAATTTTTTTTTCATTTATTTTTATTAGTTGGAGGCTAATTACTTTACAATATTGTAGTGGTTTTTGTCATACATTGACATGAATCAGCCATGCCTTCTAGTGCTATTTTACTTTTCCAATCATGTATGCTTATAACTTACAGAAAACAAAAACAAAAATAAAATCCCCCCAAAAGAAATTGCACAGCCAAGAAGAACAAGAAAGTCATAATGTAACTTCATCGACTTTTATCTTTTGCATGACAACTACATCTTGCTTAATAGGGTTTGTACCTATTAAAATAACTGATGACTGAAATTTAAATATTTATTGGAATGTATGCATTGGAATGCATAATTTCTCTCAGTCATTTCCTGAAAACGTGTCAGTACTTCACAGATGTTATATAGTGTAAATACGTATCTAGCTGAAACATTGTGGGAAAAACAAGTTATCTACGCCAATAAGCTAAATAAGCTGCAGAAACTGAACTCTTCTCAACGTGAACATAAAGAGGAAAAACCATGTGATTTGCCAACAGAAGTGATGTAAGTACAGGAATAAGTAGATAAAACCTCCGTTTGCTTGAGTTTGTTTTCTGCACCTGGAGGCTCAATAAGATTGGTGACTTTAAAAAAATGTAAAATGTGAGAGTTTTGAGTTCAATTTTATTAGGGGCAACATGTGGACTGCAGTTGGGGAGACAGCCCCCCAGAGAGCTCTGAGAAACTGCTCCCAAGAAGCAGGGGAGATCAGTACATATGTGATTTTGATGAAGGGGGATACTTGCCATCAAGCATATATTTTTTTAGATTTCTGCTAGTCTCATGAAGCTTAGCTAATCACGAGGAACAGTCATCACCATGAAGGATTTTAGTGCCTTTCTACATATGGGGAAATCTAAGAATTGGGCTCATAAAATCAGCTCCTGAAAATATCTAACTATCTGAAGACCTGTCTTGCCAATTTTTTCAGAGTATGGAGTGCCTCTTTTCTACTCTCCACCCTGAACTCCTTTCAGGGTGTGTTGAAAATCAGCAGCTGCAGCAGCACATGATTTAATCCTTGTACAGGCAGATAAGTAGATAAGCCAATGGCAAGTGCCAATTTGTAGTTGACAAGATCATCTCAAGCTTCTTTTTTGTTGTTGTTGTTTATTAAAGACATAGTGAATCTTAGTCTTTCAAGTCAATTTTTCAGGAAGAAAAAAAAAATGCCACCTCTCAGATCTGTAACTATTAGGACTCCAGCTTTCTTATCCCAGTTTTTGTTTGGGGAAGTGATAACCATTTAATTGTTGCCTAATGCACTCGTGGAGGTATCCAAACTTTTTAAAGCTGCACAATCTGTTCAAGCTTTTTTTAAGCACTGAACTCAGATCTTCATACACATCCCTCGCCCCTTTTATTTCCTGAATTACTCTAAGACTCAGATGACCATATGTCCTAATTTTCCTAGAAGAGTCTCAGAATCTTGTTTGGTTCTCTTTTTAACTCTCAGAAGTGCCCAGTTGATCTTGATTTATATTTCTAACAAAAAACATGCATTTACTTTTTATTAATTAACTTAAAAATACAAGCATTTCATAACTTGTTTGCTCTCAAAAACTTGAAGAAATTTCCAATTCTTTTGTTGTGATTTGTGAACTGTCAAAAAATTTTTTAAAAGCAGGTTAAGTTGTAATATAAATTTTTCTTCTTAAAAAATTAAACAGTGTGTATGTTAAAACTATTTTCTAGTAACCTTGGAACAGTTAGGTACTTCTTAAAAACCATGACTAAAATCTTTGTGGAAGAATTAAATTCAATATTCTAGGTGACATAATAGATTCTAATTATTAAAACAGTTCGAGAATGTCTTCCAGTTTACTTTATTAACAGTTATAACAAGGGTCTCAAAAGACTTCTCTCAGCAAATAGGTCTCATCCATCATTATGGCTGTTAAGAACCTAACCAATTACCAAGCAGGAAGCATGCCTCTTCTACTACACAGACAAGCTCTGTAGGCTCAAGATGCCCAAACTTTCTTTAGGGTGAGGACTGAAAGTCCTGCCAATCCTCTGAACAAAGTTCCCATGTTATCCAGTAAACCTGAAATACTCCTTTCACAGTGAGCAGTGCTGAAACATATTCCATAATTAATTGCTCAGTTTCAAGAGAGATTTAACATCACTTGTTTTTCTGGAAGATACAGAGTTCCTCAGTTTTATTCAAATATGCAGTGTCCCTGATATAAAGCATGTAGCATTATAAAGAGCTGTGATCTGTCTTAGCATCTTTTTCTTGCTTCACCACTTAAGTCCCTGACTGTGGAAGTTTCTTTTCAATTAAAATAAACACAAGATCCACTAGAAGGAAAACAAACCCTGTAATTAATTTTGTTTTAAAGATATGCAATTACTGCATTTTTAAAAGTTGCTTTATAACTGAGCTAATGTATTACACTGGATCATGCTATGGGGACAAATTCACTGCCTGCCCTAAACTAGTGAAAACAAAAGGAAAGCACTTTTCATCTCTATGAGAAAGTATGTCTGAGTTTTTGGGTCTGAGATCAGGTTTGCTTGGTAGCCTCAAAGAGCAATTTACCCTCTTTTTCAAAATTTGCTTTTGATCATTTCAGACAATTCATCCTTTCTGAATGAGAAAGAGAAGAGAGGAATGTCGAATGAGGTTAAGTAAACGGAGAATCTGTCACATAAAGCAAGTTTAAAACCCCGTAACAGCATCCATGCAGGACAAACGGAAGCATTATTCTTTTGAAAACATTATTCTTTCAAACAGTGTGTAATGACATCCTCCCCAGAGATTTCTTCCATGAAAGAAAAAAAAAAAATACTTCCTCAGAAGTCATTTTCTAGATTTCCAGTATGAGTGAAGCACAGTGAAAAGTCACACATTTTTTTTTAGTGTAAGAAGATTCAAAATTAAAACTGAGAAAAAGGGCTCATAAGTTTCTCCATGCTCTTGTTTCATTACTTATCAGTATTTCCATGAACCAAAAGGACATGTACAAGGAAAAGGTGGTCATTATTACCTTAGATTTGTATCAGAGAATGTATTCTTATTATAAACTTGAGCCAAACATAATCTCTGTTTTCAAGGGAGAAATATAGAAGACTCAAATATGCTAAACGTAAGACAACCCACTTAAGTTCCTTTTAAGGATATCATTTTCTTTTGCTGAAATATCAATCTGTGGAATACATATCCAGCATTCTGTACTGCTATGACCTCCTGAGGACTTACTCAAAATTAGAAAATTTTATGTTTTAAAAGTTTGGTACTGGGCTTCCCTGGTGGTCCACTGGTTAAGAATGCCCCTTGCAATGCAGGGGACACTGGTTTGATCCCAAGTCTGGGAGGATCCCACATGCTTCGGGGCAACTCAGCCGGTGCACCACAGCTCCAGACGCCTGAGTGCCCAAGTCTGCTCCGCAGCAAGAGAGGCCACCACGAGGAGAAGCCCGCACGCGGCAACCAGAGAGGAGCCCTTGCTCTTAATTCATTAAATAAAATGTTAAAAATCATGTTTTAAAGTTTGATATTACCTAAATGTCAGAATTTGGCTTTTGTTTAACTGTTTAAAATATGTTTAAACAACCAAAAGGAAAATAAGCAACTTATTTTGCTTATTCCAACTTATGCTTAATTAATGCAAGTTCAAATAAACAGTTTTCTTCAAAGATTTCAAAACTTTTGAATACATGTTGAATGGAATGGAAAAAAGAAAGACACTGCAGAAAAATCACAATTATGATGTTTATTTAGGAAAATAAACTTAAAGAAAGTTTTCTGTTAAAAAAACATGAGAATTACATTCAAATTTTAGTTTCCCCATCTTCTTTGGTATTCAAATCAACAGTCAAATATAAAATATTTTATTTTGAAGTTAGTCATTGGATCTGTAACAGTTTTCCACAGAAGGAAAATAGGAAATTAAGTTACCTGTAATTGTTTTACTTATTGAACAACCAATGGATGTGTAAAAGCAGTCAATTATGTGTATGCAGAAACCAACATCATCAAGGAAATGTTCATTCACTAAAATATGTTTTCTGCTGGAGCTATATCTCAAGTTTTTAACAACCTTCTGCCATCATTTTACCATGTTATCTGAACAGTAACCCAATATGCAGACACTGTTATTCACATGAATTTTTCTCCAAGGAAGTTGACAGCATCATAACCAGGACTTACCAACATTTATTTTCAACATGATCACAACATTAAAAAACTTTCTGTATTTTTCAGAATTGTGTGCCTCAGTCTTTCCATAAAATAGTATCTGGAGAGCGCTAATAGCATTAAATTAATATTAATAAAATCCAATTCTATCTAAGTCTCTTTCTCTTAAGAAGAAACAGTACTTAAAACCAGACTTTTTGTTCTTTTAAGAGTAGTATTATATGGATTCCTAAATCAGCCAAGCCAAACATTTCCAGAAACACCGTGTGACAACCAAGCTACCCTTATTCCTAATTCTTTGCCTCTATGCATACTGAGCTCCCCACGTCCCTGATTTCTTATGTGGAAGTACTTTCCCCTTAATTTGTTAAAAAGAATCTGAAAAAAAAATCCAGTAATAAACTAGGGTAATGAATTTTTCTTTTTTTTTTTGCATAGACTTGTGACCACAAAAAAATCAAGCCACTTATAGTTTCGATACTAACACTGTGATTGGGAACAAGAAGAATACAACCATAATAAAATACAGCTATCTATTAGAAGGACTGCATAGAGACATCTTTGGCCATGAAGACTCTGGGCCCTCTGGAAATAAGTCAGTTGCATTGCCAACATGACAAAGAAAATAGCAATGTTGAGGATCAGAAACAGCCTGGTGTACGAGGCGGACAGCGCCGGGGCTCTGCTGTGAGTCGTTGTCACCATTCGAGCCTGGCCAAACCGGCCATTCATCACATCGCCGTTCCTGTGTTTCTCGTATGTTATGTCTGCAAAATCTAAAAGGTCTTTCATTTCTTCATCTTCATCTACGGGCAGTTCTTTCTGTGCTAAGATCTGAGCTTTCTGTCGAACCTTTCTTTCATTGACTTCAATCTGTGCAAAAATATCAGGGACGGCATCCACAAATTTATAGCGTTTGCCTCCCCTTCGGTTCTTCTTGGACTTGCTCTGTTGCTGCTGCTGCTGCTGCGATATGGCAAAAATCCTGTCGATGGCCTCCTCGGTCTGTCTCTTATCTGAAAATCTCAGCAGGCGCTCGGCAGTCTTCCTGAAGCTGGCTGTGTTCCGGACGCGGGACAGGATCTGCTTCTCTAGCAGCTGGAACACGGGCTTAAAATGCTGCAGGTTCTGTTCCACCAGAGCAGCGTAGTCCTTCACCTCCGGGACAACGCTGCTCCTGATGGCTGAACTCCGGTCAAACAGAATTTTCTGCCGGTCAGCAATGACCTGCACAAAGGCAGACTGCCCCGAGGTCTCTCCTGTCCACAGGTAAGTGGCGTAGGCATGCTCGCTGGTGGCCACGAACACATCCAGTTGCTGAGCGTCTCCGTGGATGCTGAAGCTCTGAACATCGACGGATGGCCCTATGAAGAGGTAAGCTGCCCTGGTGACGGGACTTCGGAGGTGCGTGGTGACATTCACGTAGTTCGTCCCGTTGTAAGGATAGCCGCGAGGGTATGTCACTGAGGCAAAGGTTCCTTTCTCACTGTAGCCAGTATCATCCATCCAGTACATTTTATAGAGGCCATCCCGCTGCCTGATGAGAGCCCCATGGACCCCATCTACCACCGTCTCCTCGAAAGGAAAATCCACATTGTGGAAGAAGCTTGCTGCCCTCTCCAATGGGCTGTCCTCTCCCAGGTGTATCTGATCCACAAGGAGGAGAAGCTGCGGATGCAGGAGGATCAGATTTCTCTGAACGTTCCTCAGGTGAAGCTGGGGGTTGTAAGCGCCCACACCCTCTCCTCGGATGAAAACCACCCCATTTTTCTCCGCTGCGGCAACCACTCTCCCCTGACAGCTAGCTGCCGGGTCGTGCTTATATTTAGACCATTTTGATGAGCAGTCTTCTGTGAGCTGGCCCTCCCAGGGAGAAAAGCAGCTCTTGGAGGCAGCTGGGGAAAACATCAAAACGTTGTTGAAGAAGGTGTACTTTGGCCCATAGAGAGCCTCAGTAATGAAAGGCACACCGTTGGGAGCGAAGGTAAATGAATTTTGATCAGGATGTTCATGCCCTGCATTAAAATTCCTCCAGCCTTTGATCCAGTCTTTGTATTTGTTTCTGTGGACAATGTCATATATTGCACGTCCCCCAAGTTTTCCTGACTTGAAGGAAAGGAAAGATCTATTGATTTCTGCAGGCAGCGCACTTCCGTAAGTCACAACGCCCCAGTCTTCAAAATAATGCAATGTCGGGGTGCCGAAATCTGGAGGGGGAACAGATTTCAAGCTGGCATCGTACCTGAAAAAATTAATTTTTAAAAACTACATGATTTTCTGATAGAAGTGAAAGGACATATCAGAACAGTGATGCCATATGGCAACCTGGCTAGAGGAAACAACACACAAATGCTACCAGAGCACTGGCGGTGTAGACTGCATTATGGAGTTTTCTGAAAACACCCATGCACAGTCAACAGGAGTGGAGGAATGTCCTTGGTGGATGGGAGACGAGTGCACCTTGACATCTGTGAAGGGTGTGAGGCTGAAATGACTGCTGCTGATCATCTCTACGTGGACCTTCCTCACTTAACGATTTCAGAACTGCCACCCAGATGAGACTGGGGCTCACAGAATGAAGCAGCTCACTCAAACCTCTAGTTGAGGGGCTCCTATTCTAGGAAACCACACACTAAGATTTAGACTCTAGGGACTTCCCTGGTGGTCCAGTGGTTAAGACCTCACCTTTCTATGCAGGGGGTTCAGGTTCAGTCCCTGGTTGGAGAGCAAAGATCCCATATGCCTCGTGGACAAGAAAGCAAAATATAAAACAGAAGCCATACTGTAACAAATTCAATAAACACTTTAAAAATGGGCCACATCAAAAAAAAAAATCTTTAAAAAAATATTTAGACTCTAGCAATCCTTGAGTGGGCTTCTCTGGTAGCTCAGCTGTAAAAGAATTCGCCTGCAATGCAGGAGATTCCAGTTGAATTCCTGGGTTGGGACGATCCCCCAGAGAAGGGATAGGCTACCCACTCTGATATTCTTGGGCTTCCATGTGGCTCAGTCGGTAAAGAATCTGCCTGCAACGTGGGAGACCTGGGTTTGATCCCTGGGTTGGGAAGACCTGCTGGATGGAGGAGGGCATGGCAACCCACTCCAGTATTGTCCCCTGGAGAGTCCCCATTGACAGAGGAGCCTGGCGTGTTGTAGTCCAGGGAGTCACAGCGTGGAACACGACTGAGTGGGTAAGCACAGCACAGCACAATCACTTAGTGATAAGCAAGGATGGTTCTGCACACAACTGAAATTCAAACTTGGTACTTTCCTCCCCTCTAAAAAAATAAATTTAAATACAGTCGAATCTCACATATTAGATAAGATTTACTGCCAATGCAATATCTAAGAATATAAATGCATGAAATTCGGGAAACAATCTAATAGTGGGGGGGATTTATGATTGTTCCTCCCATTGTTCAGCCCAGACAAAAATCCAAAGGTTTTGTTTTGTTTTAATCTGCATGCTTTTTTAATAATAAATTTCTTACCTTAATTTATGATACAGGTTTATTATCAAAGACAATAATTAACATTACTTAATTAACCCATGATTAAGAACACAGATCTTGATTCAGAAAGGCTGTAAAAATAATAATGAAGGTGACTGTTTGCTTTTGGTGACTTCAGACAACAGCCTTGACAGGTTCATATGATCTGCTGCTCAAGAGACCAAAGGCAGACCTGTGCTAGCTCTTAGGTCTCTAAGTGAGTTGGTCAGCTGTGGCAGAGTTCGGCTTGTTGATACTTGGTTTGGGCTGTTTTGTCTATTGTTTTGGAGTTTGTTTCAGGACGTCAAAAATCTCTACTTTGAGTAGAGGGTTGGCTTAATTATCACGATTTAACAAGTCCAGATATAAGCAAACTGGTCATCCTTCTCTCAGGCTTTGGTCATTTTTTCAGGTATTTACCATTTATTTCTCTCTCTCTCTTTTTTTTCTTGGCCACACGGCATGCGGGATCTTAGTTCCCCAACCACTAAGACTACCAGGGAAATCCCTCAGTCAGTTTTCATATTCCCACAAAGGCACATTCTGAACCAAGTTAGACTTACCATTAATCTGACTCCTGTTGCTGCTGCTGCTGCTAAGTCACTTCAGTCGTGTCCGACTCTGTGCGACCCCATAGATGGCAGCCCACCAGGCTCCCCCGTCCCTGGGATTCTCCAGGCAAGAACACTGGAGTGGGTTGCCATTTCCTTCTCCAATGCATGAAAGTGAAAAGGGAAAGTGAAGTTGCTCAGTCGTGTCCGACTCCTAGCGACCCCATGGACTGCAACCTACCAGGCTCCTCTGTCCATGGGATTTTCCAGGCAAGAGTACTGGAACCTGACTCCTAGAAGCAACTTTATAGAATTCTCTTGGTTGTTTATTTATGGGTAAGTGAAGACACTATTAAGTAATTACTTCATACCCCTAAATGGAGTCAGGAATGTCTACATATTAATATATGTAGTTCATCTGTGAAGATTGTTTTTAAAAATGATGGTCAAACTAAGACAGTTATCACTCTACTAACATTTTTCTTCCTCTTGTTTGATTTTTTTTTTTAATGAAAAGAAGCAATCAAACCATGCAAGCTTACTTTGGAGTTGAATGCAAATTTCAATAGCTTGAAAAGACATCAGGGATTAATGATTAACCAATTCTCTTTAACTTTTATTTTAACTTTAATTTATTGGATGCCAACAATGTATTTGGCAGTACTTTAAAAAAGGAGACCCTGGCTGCTCTTTCTAGGCTTAAAAGATTAAGGCAAAAAAAATTACATGGTTCTTTTATTATCAAAGTAAAACTGTCAAATACTGTCAAACACTTTTAAACAGTTTTGAAAATTTAGTAACAGCTTTGCTATTAGAAGATTATAATGCTCCATTTACCAAAACAAAACATTTTACTACCTTTTTTTTTTCCCTTTGGTGTGACTATCAGAAAAACTAGGTCTAAATTTTGTGGTTTTTCTCTTTAGATGATTTCAAAAATGATGTAAATCAAAACATGTATATCTATGAAACAGTGTGAGCTAAGGATATCTCTAATGCAAGAAAAGCAAAAACAGCAAACAGTAATTAGATCTTAAATGGAAGGAAATGTTTCTAACAGAGTCTGAAAACCGCAATATGAATTGAACACAAGCTGTGAGTGCGTAGGTGGCATGGAGAGATGAGTTTTTCTTTTTTAAAGCAAAAAAATTTAACACAGGGTGCCCCTGGGTACAATTTCTCTTTCAAGCCAGCACAATGTAACATACCAGAGAAATTCCGTGTGAAGAGTACACCAGCGTTGCCCTTTGGACGGCGTCCCCGGACCTTCCACCACACGGTTCCTTCTGATTTGGTCAGCCAACCAGTTGCCACTGCCGTTACGCATGACAAATTTATCCAGGAACACTAATTGGCTTTCTGGACCATAAAACCAGTTGTAATTTGAGTCTGCAATAGCCACAGTTCTTTGAAACCCTGAGGAAAGATGTTTGACAGAATTAAGATAAATTTAAAAACTAGGTACTTTCATAAAACCCCAAACAATGATTCTGAATCCTGGTTGCAAATTGGAATCAACTGTCTTCTAGGATAAAAATAAGAAAGAGAACCACGATCCCTTTGCTCTATCCCAATTAATCAGAATCCTTCCAAAGGTCTTCCACAAAGCTTGTGGGTAAGTTTGTTACATGGGAACTTGTCACTGGTAATGGAATGCTTACGTGTATTGCTCAGCTTCCTCATTTTCCAGTGTTCATGCCATATGCAATTATACTTGCATGGATACATGGGCTATCTATCTCTTGTGCATGGTGAGTCCCTGAACCTGGAATGGGCACTAGCTTTTCCACCAACACATCCCACATCCCAGGCCAAGATAATAACATAAAGTGTTTCAGTTTGGCATTCAATACAGTAGAAGTAGAGAAGACTCTTGAGAGTCTCTTGGACTGCAAGCAGATCAAACCAGCTGATAATCCTAAAGGAAATCAACCCTGAATATCACTGGAAGGACTGCTGTTGAAGGTGAAGCTCCAATACTTAGGCCACCTGATGCCAAGAGCTGACTCACTGGAAAAGACCAGGATGTTGGGAAAGATTGAGGGCAAAAGGAGAAGATGGTGGCAGAGGATGACAAGGTTGGATGGCATCACCAACTCAATGGACATGAACCTGAGCAAACTCCAGGAGATAATGAAGGACAGGGAGTCCTGGCGTGCTGCACTCCATGGAGTCGCAAAGTCAGACATGACTTAGCGAGTGAACAACAGTAGAAATTAGAAGGTTTAGGGGAGAAACTGAGTATCTGCAGGAAGAAAACAAAACCATTCCCAGAGAAGATCCTGCCCACATGTACTGTCAGAAGTTGAAGAAAAGAGAAAAAAAAAGTAAAGATCATACTGGAATAGGTCAGAAAAACAGAAGCAGGTAAGAACAGATATACTCCATGCATCCTTGAAAAAGAATAATGGGAGAAAACTCTGGTTCAGACAGGAATGGTTGTTACTGGAATAGATAGTGTAGAGAAAAAAAAAACGTTGTTGAGAACAGATTGACTTAACACAGAATCCCTTCTAAAAATGCCTGCATGGTCGTATTTATATAATTTACAGCTAATGTTTTTGCTCCTGCCAATTTAGTAAATGCTTGTCCAAGTAAATCTTAGTATAAATTGTGACTTTCTGAATCTTCTGCTAAATCTGTGAGTATCTTAAAAGCAGATGGTATGTCTTATCACTCTTTGAATCCCTTGCCTATGATAGTGCCTGGCACATCAATGTTCAGTAAAGGTCATTTCACTAACTGAAACAAACATGAATTCTCCACTTAAAGGTGACTATATTGTCTTTTTCACCTTAGGAAGTAGCCATATACACAGTTCACAGCAAGTCAAAGCCCCAGTGTGGCGGATTATTAGATCTCAGATCAAATTACAAAGCTCTGAGGCTTCTTAAAGGCCCTTGCTTTAGATGGCCTGTGTTTACCAAGATAAAGAAACAAGAGGCCTCTCCTGAATGTTCAAAGATAAGCAATAAAACAATAGGGTTCTGAATGTGAGTCTAAACCAAATCATAACATGGTTCTTCTGGGGGCTCTGTAGTATTTTTTTGATAACTAATGCAATAATGGGAGTTTCTATCCAATCCATGTGTATATATCCAAAGCAAAAAGATTTAAAACCTGGATTGTTTGCTGTAGGTCTAGAATCACTCAACTAAAAATTGCATTTCACTGGGGCAAAATCCATCCTGATGAAAATTTACTCCTGTTTAGAAGTACGCAAAGTTATAATCTGTCCTAGAGATGAATTTATTGAGAATAAAAGGTTTCTCTCTTAAAAGCCAGTTCTCTTAAAATGCTTACTTAAAAGCTTACTACATAGCAACAAGAATTCAGAAGTTTCATAGAAATTCATTTTTTGGTTAGTTTTCTATATTTTATACCATTTATTTCAATATGGACTATTGCCCACCAGGCTCCTCTGTCCATGGAATTCTCCAGGCAAGAATACTGGAGTGGATAGCCATTCTCTTCTCCAGGGGATCTTCCTGACCCAGGGATCAGACCCAAAAATATTTAAAGAGAATACTAAACCTCCAAGTGTAATCTCTCTTTTGAATCATGTCTGTATAGTTTAGAAGAAAAAATTTAAAACTAAAAAAAATAAATAAATAGGATTAATTAGGATTTACACATAAAGGAAAATAACATGTAATCATAAATATTTATATTTTCAGATTCATGAAAAAGAGTTTGTATATGTACCCAAGTTTGTATACACACAAAAATAAAAGTACCATGGGACTACAAATTATATTTGATCTGTTATACTCTACATTTTATAATACTTAGATCACAAATCCTCACATTAACATCCAGAATATTCTTGGTTATATACAACTCTTAAATTCTTTGATTAAAAAAAAAATCCCTTTAACCTCGATATGGCTCAAATCCCACATTTCTTAATCTTGTCCATCTTCATAATCAAAAAAAATTATAATAGTTTAATGTTTTTTTCACTTCTAAGTCTTCACTGTACCTGGCAGAATGGTTCTATACATAAATGCAAAGTGTTGTTTAAGCCATGGGTGGCCAAAGTGGTTGATGTCAAAGTGCCTTTGAACAAGAAACATATACTGGAAGAGTGATCTAGTGGTGTAGCTGCCATATGCAACTCCTTCATAGAGGGAGCCATCTGTCACCTCTCGGAGCAAGACCAGAGACTTCTCCATGATGGTCAGAACTTGTTTGGTCCATAAGTAAGCTTCCTGAAGGTACCCTAAAGGATGCAAACACATGAAAACAATGACTAAGGATGTAACAAGGCAGAAACAAAAATGTGGCCAAATTAAACCCTCTTAGTTATCTGACTACTTTATACTGCAAATTGCGCTTTGTAAAACTCTCCCTTATCAACGTTATAAACAGTATCTTGCTAATCCAGGTTTATGATGAGTCCATGATTTAAATTAATAAGTTCTTGATACAGGTCATTTATTAATTAAAGGTAAACCTTTAAATAAGTATCAGTAATTTAATAATCTTTAATAAATTGAAATCACACATCTGAGGTTACAAATTGACACACTTCATGCCTGCAAGAAAAGATCTGTATATTGAGTCTTTCATTCAATTTGTCTAAAATACACCAACTGACAATATTTTTGAAGTTTTCCACTTTACAACAACTGTTAACATTATTTTACAGAATCTGTAATAAGCTGCAAATACTAGAAATACTAAATGAACAGTCTCCCACTTATCCTGTTCTTAGAAGACAGTATCTTGTCTTTTATGTGCTTTTAGATGTCACAGCATCAGACAAGGCAGCATAGTGGGGTGGAGAGACCATTGGAGTGGGGATCTAAAGGTGACAAAGATCAACTGAGAGTCCCAAGTCTGCCAAAAATGAGCTACATGATTTTGTTCAAGTACTTCTTCACCTGCCACCGTTTTCATTTTCCCCAACTGAGAATTGAAGGTCTAAAATATTTTATAAAATTCTTTTGACTCAGAAATGCTATTTTTCTATCATTTTTGTGAAACCAGCATTTAGGCAACAATAACAATTCCTCATATTTTGTAGCATTTGGAAGCTACATAGCACCAAACATAACCTTACTTGATCCTTTTAACAACTCAATTATGCACTATTTCTCCAAAATTACAGAAAGGTTGACTTGTCCTCTGGTACATGACTAAAAGTGAACAGAGCTTTCATCTGAACTTACGTCTTTAAAGTTTGTTTTGTTTGCTTGTATTTAAAATACACAACCCCTAAGGATCAAATTAAGCTCCCAGTCTCCTAATGTGAGTAGACTTTTGTTATTTCTTTCCCATAGACATGTGCATGGTCATCCATGCTGAACCCTCTACCTTGGCCTACTAGATGTGCTGGGCATGGGGGGCTTCCAGAGGCCCAGGTACCACCAGATGTGTCCCAGCCTAAAGCCAAAGTCCCAGATCTCATCTCATGGGGGCAGCACCATTCTCAGGCTCTGCTGGGCACTGGCCCCTTCTCCCAGCCAGCTCCACACCTGACATACCAGCCTTCTAGATAGGTTTTAATTTCCATTTTCCAATTATTAGGGTTTAAATCCCAATCATCTTCATCTTTTCCTCATCTGTATCCTCCATCTCCAGCCAGACACCAATGGAACTGATGTTTAAAATCAGGACTGCTATTTCACTGCTCCTCATATATTTCATTACCTGATTTTCTTTACTTTTCCCTTCTAAAAAACTCTATCCAGGAGAAATGAGGTAATGTCTACCTTTGTAAACTTCAAATCTATCCATACGAGGTACCAATATTGTTATTACTAATGTTCTGCCCTGTGTTTTTCCCATCACCCATATATCTTGCCTGGATTTCTCCTTATTTTCACTTATCCATATCCTATCTACCCTTCAAAAGTTTTATGAACCATCTCAAACTCATCTAAAGAAATTGTTCTCCTGAATGCAAACTTAATACACTCATTTGATATTTAATCATAACTTCATGATACTCTTTATCTCATTCCCTGGTCTTATTACAAGTATGGTGTAATCATTTAAACATTTCATTTCTGTCTTCTTTCCAGTTGATTTGTAAACTGAATACATGTGATCCTGTGGGCCCTCTGTACCAAGCCTCAGACTGGGTTAGCAGGACAGAAAGTGAAGGTGTTAGCTCATTTCAGTTGTGTCCGACTCTGTGTTACCCCATGGACTATAGCCCACTAGCCTCTTCTATCTGTGGAATTCCTGAGGCAAGAACAGTGGAGCGGGTAGCCACTCCCTTCTCCACGAGATCTCCACCCAGGGATTGAACCCAGGTCTTCTGCACTGCAGGTGGATTCCTTACCAACGGGGCCACCAAATCCTAATTCTCCCGCTGCTGAGATGTCACGTGAATTCAGTGGGAGCCATACCTGACAAAGCTACCGCAGTCAGGATCTACAAGGCTGCTCCGAGCACATGGAATGATCAGTGCAGTGTGGCCAAGGCAGCTCCTAGAGTGAGAGCGAGGCAGCTGAGAAAGCCAGGGCTGTAAGCCTGATGACTTAACAGAGATATGAAGGACCAGGGATTCCACTCCTTTTTCTGTTCCCTCTTCTCATCACTGTGGGCACTACTTGTGGAAAAGCCCTGGAAGACTGCATCCCAGAGCAAACCTTATGACTTTACTCAGAAAACAAATGCATGTGAAAACTCTTGCCAAGGCCAAATACAAATTGTAATCCAATTCGAGCCAGTATTTTAGGTGCCTGTTTATTATCTGGAACAATTTTATCTATTGTGGAGAATGAAGAAATAAGTTCTATTCCTGCTGGTAAAGAACTAAAAATTTATCTCAATTTTATCTATTGTGGAGAATGAAGAAATAAGTTCTATTCCTGCTGGTAAAGAACTAAAAATTTATCTAAGGGAATTAAACTGTACTAGACTAAAATCCAAGGCCCTGGGCTACCATCCAGCTCACTCTAGGGTTCTTTCCACCAATTCATGATGCTCTCTTTCCACAGGCCTGAGGATTTATAAATGGTCTGATGGTAGGTGTTCATGTGGCTTACTTTTTGACTTTTAAAATTCAGTTTGTATTCGTGAGAGTGGCAAAAATTTACACTCTTAATCAAGCTTTCCTTAAGTTACTATAAGTTGAATTTTTATTTTAAGAAAGGCAACAAAATATAGTGGAAAGACAATGAAGTTTGAATTTGGCTAGAATTGGGTCCAAAACCCAGCTACCTTATATAGTTGATGTGAGAATTAAATAAAATATGGGCAAGGATTAGCACATGCCATATGCTCAATTAATTTTAGTTTTCTTTCCTCTAAGACCTAATTAAAAGTGATGGTTGATATGACAAGGGAGAAACTTAGGCATGGGTAAAATCTGATGCTGGATAATCTACAAAATGCTTACTAAGTCTTATAGGGAATATAATCAAGAGTTAAACTCTTTTATTTTTTAAATTTTTTTTTATTTTTTGAGTTAAACTCTTTTAGATTTCCCAGTTATTTTCCCAGAATATTTAATATTCTAATAATTCACTGTGAACCAAGGGTCATTTTTCTTAAACACAACCTTATTTAGTTATTTAAAGATGTCTCTCAACAGGAGTTGTAATTAAGTCAGAATTACAAGAACAAAGAAAATGTGATGGCAGAAACCAACACAATTACTATAAAGCAATTATTCTTCAATTAAAAATAAATAAATTATAAAAAAAGAAAATGTGATATTAGCTATTATACAATACAATAAGGCAAAGCAGCTAAATGGTCCATAAAAGTCAACTATAAACTTGACCTGAATGATCTGGATTAACTGATTTTATTTTTAAAGATTTTTTTTTGATGTGGACCATTTTTAAAGTCTTTATTGAACCTGTTACAATACTGCTTCTGCTTTATATTTGGTTTTTGGCCAGGAGGTGTGTGGGATCTTACCTCCTCAACTAGGGATCGAACAGGATGCCCTGCATTGGAAGGCAAAGTCTGAACCACTGGACCACCAGGAAGTCCTTAGATAGATTCTTTTAAAGTCTTTAGAGGGGAAAAAAAGTAGCAATATATTGAAACACAACCTGTGTGTGAGGAATATTCAGTTCAAATAACGAACCACCTGTTCAGCTTTTATAAACTCTATCCAGGCTGGTTGCCTTCACTGTCAAAAATTGGAAAAAGGAATAGTCACCACTGATCCTGTGCATAAGAATATGACTTGAGACAATAACAGAGCATGCTAAAATAACAAGCAGGCTAATGTAACAAGCAGAAATGAGGAAGGAGAGGTCTCTCAACTCTCCAAGAGGTGCCCAAGGTATTGTCATGGTTTGGGCTTAGTTAGGAGCCACATATGAACGTGTACTTAGACTAGTTATAGAAATGTTTGGTTCACATTGTGGTAATTGTGACTGATGTCAGCTCAAGGCATTCCTCAGCTGTACACACCTTGATTCATCAGAACCAGGCTTCCTGTGAGCAAGGCCATGCAGTTGGTGGGCTGATGATTGTGCAGGTATTGAAATCCCCATCCTCTCCTGTATGAAGTCTCATACATATACCCTGAGGCATTGGCAATCACTTCAAGAAACTTCTCCTGCTGTGTCTTGCTCAGGTAGTTGTACAAGAAGTCATAGGCAGTGGCAAAACCAACCAGGGAGTGAGCAAGTGGGACTTCATCCCAAGGAGCATCTTTTACCAACCTATAAAAGAAAAGAGACCATGCAAATGAGTGCCACATGGCTCAGAGCTCTCATCACACTTTTCAAGTATCTACTTCTCAGAACAACAATAACAAAGGACACAAGTGAAGGTACAGTCCAGAAGGTTTAATGACATAAAAAATAGATTTCCTTCCATATAAGACACAAGCATAAAAGATTGTCTAATGTGAAAATTACAGACTTAACATTTTCTCTTTCCAGCTTCTGGCAACATTAAAATGTTCATTTTTAAGTTTTATTTAACTGTTGATGAGAGATAGAAGAGTATATTTACATTCTCGAGGGATTGAAAGTACGTAATATGTAGTACAGAGCAAAAATTCTCTGGACTAACCCATTAACCAGTGCTCGCCCTCCCCTTTCTACCTGCAGTAGGGTTCTTGGCTCTGTTCTATGATTGTCATGCTAAAACAGTTTAGCTAAAACATGCTAAAAGCGTATATATATACCATCTTATTTCCCATAGGCTGATCCAGGTGAAGGTATAATGGTTATATAGTCTAGGTCCTCTCAATCTAGGCAGATGCACTTGGTCAACATCATGATGAGGAGAGTGGCTAAAAAGCTGGTGTAAGTGAGAAAAGTGAGCCAATTCCAACTCAGATTTCTGCATCTCATTTTTTCTCAGAGCGAACTGCACTGATTTCAAGGATCTTCAAGTACTTTTTTAAGGAAGTCTAAAAGCTAATCCGTGAAGTACTAAACTGTCCTTGTCTAGGAAGCTACATGTCTGCTTGACTTGCTATGTAATTCTGCAATATTGGGTTGGCAAAAAAAAAAACCCGAACGAGCTTTTTTGGCCAACCTAATATGTTAATAGTGTGTGGCCTGCAGGAAACAGGAAGCTAAAAAGGATCTTTCGCAATCACAGTTCTATGGAATTATCCAGAAAACCCTATCTGTTCAGGATGTATTTGAGTACTCTCAAAGAGGGAAACAAATGAAGGGTGTACTGTACTTTTGGGAGGTGGAAGACAGCTCTCAATTAGGGATTAAACAAAAGCTTAACATATCTATGCCAGAGCCTCTTTTTGGCAAACTAGTGACGCCTCAGCCTCTTTCTCAATGTGTTTTAAAACTCATAACATATAATACATAGGGGTACCAGGAAATGTATTATTTTGAAATACAATTATCAGTACAGATATTTTTTAAAACTGTGATATATGTGCTTCTTTATTACAATATTAAAATTCAAGATTTAATGGCTAGGATAGTAACTATGGTAATTTGTAAGTAGTGATAAATATACATAATATTTTGAGATGTATACAATTAAGTGTATGTGATATGAAAATATCTGTGACAAAGACACAGATTCTCCTCAGATTACTATAGTTGGTTATCTAGATACATGATTTAGAAGAGATGCTAAAATTTCAGGTACAGTGAAAATTTAGATGTAATATTTCTCTCATACAAACCCCATAGACACAGATTAAGAAAACTTAAGTTCTGAGAAACTACTTCTTCTAGACTGTGTTTCTCCTTCAGGAGTTTATATTGGGTTGGCCAACAGGATCATTTCCATTTCCATAATGGAAAACTCCGGATGAATCTTTCAGCCAACCCAATACTAAAGACTTGATAGTCTCAGTGAGGCCTTCTCTGCCCACTCTGTCAGAAGTTCAGTGTTACTACTCAACCCACAGCATTTCATTCACCTTCTTCATTTCTCTGTCCTCCTGGCACTTAAATATGTCTGTGTCTATGTGTGGGCTTCTCAGGCAGAACAGTGGTAAAGAACTCACCTGTCAATGCAGGAGAAGCCAGAGACATAGGTTTGATCCCTGGATTGGGACAATCTCTTGGAGAAGGAAATGGCAACCCACTCCAGTACTCTTGCCTGGAAAATTCTATAGACAGAGGAGCCTGGCAGGCTATGGTCCATGGGGTCACAAACAGCTGGACACGACTGAGCAAGTAACACAACCTAGACATGTGTGTGCTCAGTCGTGTCCAACTCTTTGTGACCCTCATGGACTGTAGACCGCCGGGCTCCTCTGTCCATGGAATTCTTCAGCAAGAATACTGGAGTGGGTTGCCATTTTCTTCGTCAGGGGATCTTCTCAACCCAGGGATTGAACCTAGGTTTCCCGCGCTGCAGGCAGATTCTTTATTGTCTGAGCCCCCAGGGAAAGCCCAGGTTTATGTGTATATATCCTCTATCAGAATTGAAGTTCTAAAAGGCAGGGTTATCTTTTTTCCTCTGATGTATTCACTGTTGGATCCCCAATCCCATAACAGTGACTGGCACACAGGAGACTTTCAATAAATCTTTTGGGGAAGAAAGAAAAAAATGAAGCAACAAGCCTGCAGGCCACACTATTGACAGTGAATATGTGATGATTAAGAAATCAGCAGTTTGGAAGAATCGCTTGGTATTTAACAATAATCTCAGTGTTTGGTTAGCTGTGCTAATGATACAGCCTGGTGCTAAAATGACTAAAGTTGATGAGCTTCTTACCCAGTTGGCCACGGACTAAGCCACCCTGCCAGTCAGCTTGCCAGTGTGTGTAGTGGTTGTAAACACACTGTAAGGAGGGTGAATTAATTCCCTGTTTCTAGGAAAGAAAACAACTCACACTGCAAGCTCACTGCCAGGGAGTCAGAAACAGTCCTCACTGATTCATGGTGGCCACGGAGCCAGACAGAGAATCCAAGGCATTTCTCCCCCAGCCCTGTGTCTCCGCACCATGTCATCTATAAATGGCAGCACATGCGCACAGCTGTGATAAAGCTGACATCAATGAGCCGCGACCACCTACTGCAGGCTGACATGTCTGATACACCACTGAACTGACCAGTGAACTTACTTTTATGGGTAAAAAAACAAATTTCCAAGCTCCCACCTACAGTTGCTTATTCTAAGCAGTTTCCAATTCAACAAAACCTTTGAATTTTTTTTTAAAGTTCCTCATTGGAAGTCAATGCTTCATAAAAAAAAACTTTAAATTATGTAATAAAAAAATCTTTTTAAAAAGTTCCTGGTACCATTAGATGCATCACTATATCATTAAGAAATCTGACCTGTAATAGCTACATTTCTAAGAGATTACTTAAATTCTGTACTAATTCTTATGCAGATATAGAGAGTAATTACGGATGAGAGTATATTTTACTATCATGGAAACCAAAGGAAATTTGCTTCTCGCTCATGAATGGCAGTAAAGGATCTATCTTACTCAATGTCATCCTAACCATCAGGTAATAGGTTTATACTAAAGAATCACGTTAAGAGATGAATCATAAAGAAAGATAGATATTAATTTATGAATTTTATCTCACTTTAAAATATATATATTTACATATCCACCAATCTTTTGAAGGGGAGCCAAAAGCCTTCTCTTTGAATGTCGGTCTATGGATCAGTGTCATTATTTTTCCCTGCAAATAACACATAACCGCACAATTTTCAGCTTTTGTTTCTCTAATATAGGAAGAAATTAAAGATATTTGTGAAGGAATATAGAATCCTTCCAGAATTTTGAGTTTTTCCCTAAACTTTTACTAATCTTATCCACATTAAATTATGCTGGAAGTTTTTTATAGTAAGTCATTCCAAAGCATTTAAGCATTTAGAAACATTCTTTTTTAAAAACTTACACTTATTCTATTTGTAGATTATTAAAACTGTGCAATTAAATGTATTAGTGATTATATGTATTAGGAAAAATATACCCATCTGAATGCAGAGTTCCAAAGAATAGCAAGGAGAGAAAACAAAACCTTCCTCAGTGATCAGTGCAAAGAAATAGAGGAAAACAATAGAATGGGAAAGACTAGAGATCTTTTCAAGAAAATTAGTGATACCAGTGGAACATTTCATGCAACGATGGGCAGAATAAAGGACAGAAGCGGTATGGACCTAACAGCAGCAGAAGATATTAATAAGAGGTGGCAAGGATACACAGAAGAACTGTACAAAAAATATCTTCATGACCCAGATAACCACAATGGTGTGATCAGTCACCTAGAGCCAGACATCCTAGAATGCGAAGTCGAGTGGGCCTTAGGAAGCATCACTACAAACAATGCTAGTGAAGGTGACAGAATTCCAGTTGAGGTATTTCAAATCCTAAAAGACAATGCTATTACAAGTGCTGCACTCAATATGCCAGCAAATTTGGAAAACTCAGCAGTGGCCACAGGACTGGAAGGGTCAGTTTTTATACCAATGCCAAAGAAAGGCAATGCTGAAGAATGCTCAAACTACCACACAATTCACTCATTTCACACACTAGCAAAGTAATGCTCAAAATTCTTCAAGCTAGACTTCAACAGTATATGAACCAAGAACTTCCAGATGTTCAAGCTGCATTTAGAAAAGGCAAAGGAACCACAGATCAAATTGCCAACATCCCATTGGATCATAGGAAAAGCAAGAGAACTCCAGAAAAACATCTACTTCTGCTTCATTGACTAGGCTAAAGCCTTTGACTGTGTGGATCACAACAAACGGTGGAAAGTTCTTATACCAGACCACCTTAACTGCCTCCTGCGAAACCTGAATGCAGGTCAAGAAGCAACAGTTAGAACCGGACATGGGACAATAGACTGGTTCCAAATTCGGAAAGGAGTACATCAATGCTGTATATTGTCATCCTGCTTAAGTTATATATCAGGTGAAATGTCAGGTTGGAGGAAGCACAAGCTGGAATCAAGATTGCTGGGAGAAATATCAATAAGCCATATGCAGATGACACCATCCTTATGGCAGAGAAAGGAAAAAGGAAAGTGAAGTCGCTCAGTCGTGTCTGACTCTTTGCAACCCCATGGACTATAGCCTACCAGAATCCTCCATCCCTGGGATTTTCCAGGCAGGAGTACTGGAGTAGGTTGCCATTTCCTTCTCAGGGGATCTCCCCAACCCAGGGATCGAACCAGGTCTCCCGCATCATAGGCAGACACTTTACTGTCTGAGCCACCGGACAGCCAAATATAGCAAAGAGTGAAGATGAATTAAAGAGCTTGCTGCT